ACGTGCATTCTAATTTAAACGAGGTAATTCAATTAATTTCGAATTCAACTATTCATTATTAAAATGAATCTATTTAATTATTATAATAAATATACTGTAAGATGAGAAGATGAAAATGTTTTCTATGGTTCATGAGATATCCCAATAAAGTTTTATCCATCTTTTAAATTACCAATAAATAATGTTCCCTAACCCATTTATGGTTCTTAATATTCATTTCCAATTATTCTATAATAAACTGATCCTCTCATTATAAAACATTCAATTCCACCTCCATTTGTTGTACCCTAAGCATGAACACTCACAATTTTTTAAACTCCCAAATTACACTCATTAAATTAATCATAAATGACATTCTCAACATTAATCCAAATACAGAATCCAAAACCCTCTTGGAATGGCCAATTTTTACTATCTACTTTAATTCCACTGCCCATTCCTGAGAAATAAAAATTATTCTGAAGCCTCGGTCGTAGGGATTCCTAAATTTAATTATCATCTACTTTATACAATGTAAAAATATCAGGACATGGATTCATTAAATGATACCTCAATACCTTCCTAGATATATAACCCTTTTATGCTGTAAGAATGGCAGCTTTCATCTTTAATACATATAATTAAATCAATTTACATCATGCAATAGACTATCTTAGAATTCAGGTAATAATGTGTTATATTTATATTATAAATATCTCTCTTCAAATTTAAATTCAAGTGGATTTGTAATAATATTGTATTTTTTATTGAATTCCTTAATTGTTTATGTTTAGGTTTATTCCAACATAATAATATTAATAATAATAATAATATAAATAATATCATTATAATAATGTATCATATGCACTAAGAAAAATACATTCAAATTCTTTTCTTCAATAAATGACTATAGTTTTAATTATACTTTATAAATAATAATACTATATTGTATCAAATCATTAAATAATTAGATTATAGATATGTTTCATATATATATATTTATTAAAATTGTTATATCATTCTAAATTTTTCCTTTTAATTGGAATTCCCTTTCATAAAAATAAATTTTTTCATTTATTTATGAATATATGAGAATGTGTAAAAAAATTAAATATTAATTATCTAATGGGATGTCTAGGTAGTCGTCCTTTAAATGATGATAAGGCATCATCTGATAATTTGTATATGTTATTGGATTAATTGTCAGAGGGACAATTTGTTGAGACTATCATTATCTATACATCTGTTTATAACTATTGTTATATCAAATAAAGAAAGGAATGGATATTATAAAAGAAGAGAGTCATAAAGAGTGTAGATAAATGGATGAAAAGCAATTTAGAATCTAGAAATTATATTAGCTCATTCTTGGATTCACATCCAGAATCTATTATTTTATTGAGACCTCTTCGAAATTTCAAACCTGCTATTACTTAAGCTACTATTCACACTGCACTTATGAAAAATGATTACTTTCCTTAATAGATATTTGTGAAATTTGTAGATATCAAACAATCACAATTAATCAATTTTAGCAATAATGGAAAATACACTTTTTTTTTGTAATTATAATTGTACAAATTACAAAGTCTTAAACAATTCTATAAATTTTAATAGATCTATACTATAAAGATATCTAAAATATTTAAATTTGCTCAATTTGAATTTTATGGTTTAATCCATTGGACTTCAACACATAAATATGGAGATTTATTAAAATTTATAAATAAATATGGATGGCGTATGAAATTCATAGATATAAGTGAAAATGTATCTGAACATCATTAATGTATAATATTATATTATATAGATTTCAATTCAAACTAAGTATTTCATATTGAAGAATAAACTAAAGAAGATATATTCATTATTATTGATCCATAAGGTAAAGTAATTAGAGCAGAAACACCTGAATTTTATGTGTCCTAAAAACCAGATTAAATTTGTGAAGAATTTGATGATGTTAGTTCTTAGAAATCTAAATCAATTAATATGAGAAGAAATTACTTAAAGAATTACATATCCATTATTCATCATATATCAGTTAGAATAAACCATCAACTCCAAAATCTACATTAACAAAATATCAAATAATGCAATAATAAATATTATAATAAAGTGAGACAATCAGTTATTTACAATACAAAGATTTCAAATAATTGTTTAAGAGTACTCGTTTACCTTAGATATTATTTAAATATCATCCAGGTGAACCATTTCAGTTTGAATTAATTAAACAGTTCTATTTTAATTATGATTATGAAGAACATAAATTCAAAGAAATCACAAAAACTTATTTATTACTTTCTATATATATCCTGCAGCTTCTATTAAAAAATAGAAAATACTGACAGAAACTTGTAGAGAATTAAAAGAATCAATTGGATTGAAATGGAAAGTATTGTTGTTGCATTATATTAGGACCCTGATTTAAATTTATATTCTATTTCACACATCCATACATTCAGT